CAAAACCTCCAATAATAATTGATGGAATTTTCTCAATAGTATTTATGCTATGAACTTGAGATTGTTTTCTCGGAAAGTGTACCGTATGCTCATGACCATTAACATGAAAAGTCACATTGCCTTTGTTGCAATCAATAACAGCTCCTGCAGTATTTAAAAAGGGTCTACCAAGAATAATAGACATACTATCGTCCTCGGGAAATATCAAGAATAACGAAGTCTGTTAAGATAGTAACGTTCACAACAACAACTGGCACGTCCTCACATATGCCGATAGGTATAGCAGTTGATTTGTCAGCCATTTGCAAAGATATCTCAGTAGGTGTCAACTTACTTAATTCAAGTCTACGGTACAAGGAAAGAGGCATAACACTAACACCGGCTCCTAAATCACATAAAGGAGTTTTAACATAATTTCTTTTAATAGAGCAAGGTATAGTGGGTACTCCGGGATCACCAAGTTTCTTAGGTATTCCACCCTTAAAGGTATAGTTGGCAAGCATGGTGGAAATCTCAATTTCAGGTATTTTTCTCTTATTAGTGATGATATCTTTCATATATTTAGCATAATGGTTTGTTTTAAGCATATCAGTTAAGCGCATGCGTAAGAAAATAGGTCTAATCATTTCAGCAAGACGCTCAAAGTCCTCATCATCCTTTGTCTTGGATGGTTTAGGAGGAAAGGGCATGGGTTTCTGAACCCATGGTTCTCTTTCCCTACCATGCTTCCTAGCAACAAAATCTCTCTTATCATAACGTTGGTTTCTTGATTGTGGGTTATCAAGACCAATAGCAGGTTCAATTTCTATATCATTGTTATTACTAGGTTGAGCATCTACATGAACATCATTATTAGCATTATCATTAGGTTCATGTTCATCTCCGGATTGTGTTTCAGCATCAGAGATAGAAGTGTTATTAGGATTCTCAGGTATTTCTACATTAGGTTCACTAGAAGTTTGTAAAGTCCTATCATTCTTCTTTTTCTTCTTCTTAGAAGAACTAGGAGCATCTAGATTATTATTCTGAGAATCTTGTTCAGTTCTTTTAGAGTGGCCTTCGGGATACAAAGGTTCCCGAGTTATTCTACCAGTTCTAGTAGCCACTTTAACTACAAAGTCATTTTTATTATTTAATTCAGCAAGCAATTCATTCTGAGCCTTAAGTACTTGTTCAGCTTGAGTAGCAATCATGGAAGCAAGTTTACTAATGAGTTTAAGTTCACTTTTAACTCTAGCTACATAATCATTCAAGCGTAATATCGTATAAGCATTATTCTTCAATTGTCTACCAACATAATCATTGAAATTGGCTTTTCTATTCATGAAATCATCAAATTCATCTAAGCAAGGGCTATGAAATTTAGTGGATGGGATTTCATCTTTATCATATCTATAGAGAGAATTTACCTTTACTACCCGTGTCGGGTTATCAAGACAATGTGGTTCTTCAACATGCGGTATATTAAGACCATGTATTTCTTCAATAGGTGGTAAATTCTTAACATCTTCAGCTTTAATACCTTTTTCTTTCATTGATTTCTTTGCCTCTTGCATATCTTCAGGACTGAGAAATAGAACACCTCTCTTCTTTGGAGTGGGTTTAGGAATAGGCTCAGGAGTTGGCTCAATTGGTTCAGGAATTTCCTCAGGAATTGGCTCAGGGAGAGTCCAATTATTTTCATTAGTCAACATATTATTCAATAGTAACTCAGGTTCATCGACCGTTCTTTCCCTGAAAACACAACCAGCACAACTATCTAAGTAGTCCTTGGAAGCATCGGTTAGTCCGTTATAGAAGATATCAAGTATTTCATTTTTCTTGAGAGGATGATCAGGCAAAGCATTAAGTAATCGGAGAAGCCTCCCCCAAGCTTGTGGGAGACTCTCTTCTTTGATTTGCACAAAATTATATATTTCCCGCAAGGCAGCTTGTTTCTTATGAGCAGGGAAATATTTAGCAGAGAAGTAATAAATCATATCCTGGGGACTACGCACACAACCAGGAGAAAGAGAATTATACCAAGTTTTAGCATCACCCTTTAATGAGAACAGAAATATCTTAAGGATATAAAAATAGCGAGACTTCTCATCATGAGTAAACAGGGTAGCTACATCATTCAACTTGGTAAGATGTGCCACAACAGTTTCAGATTCAAGGCCATAAAAAGGATCAGATTCAACTAGAGTAATAATCTCAGGATCAATAGAGAATTCATAATCCTTATCAGTAACACAGATAGGTGAAGTAGCAAAAGCAGGGTCAGGTTTCATTCTAGCATTAAGAGACTGCTGCTTCCATTTAGCTAATAATCTCTTAAGATCATATCTATCTTTGCAGGCAAAAATAGCTTCAGCAGCTTCTTTATTCATAACATAACCCTCAGGAACAACAGGCAATACATAATCATTTGGAGAATTTTCATCATCACTATCATCAATAATAGCATCTTCAATATTTTAATTCCCCCCTAACTCTAGCAAGTTGTTCATCAAGAAGTTCACCTAATGGCAAAGTAGTATCACGCATAGAAGTAGTTTCATCATGCATAGCAGAAGTGGCATCATCAATAACATGCGACATATCAGAATTCATAGCAGTAGCAGGTTTGGGTGTCGCAAGCTTATTCATAACAGAAGGAGAATCTAGTGTAGAGCTAGATGGCAGTTCCTTACCTCCCCTCGTAGTTGAGGGCAAAATCTTGGTTTTAGCGTCTTTCAAGTTCTTCATAGTGATCAACAGATATAAATCCCAAGTGACTCAGAGAATAGAGCTATGCTCCCCGGCAACGGCGCCAGAAATTAGTCTTGATAACCCACAAGTGTAGGGGATCGCAACAGCTTTCGAGGGTAAATTATTCAACCCAAATTTATTGATTCGACACAAGGGGAGCCAAAGAGTATTATTGAGTATTAGCAGTTGAGTTGTCAATTCAACCACACCTGGATAACTTAGTATCTGCAGCAAGGTATTTAGTAGCAAAGTAGTATGATAGTAGTGGTAACAGTGGTAAAAGGTAAAGATAGTAATAGCAATATTTTTGGTGTTTTGTAATGATTGTAACATTAGCAACGGAAAAGTAAATAAGCGAAGCACAGTATATGAAAAGCTCGTAGGCAATGGATCAGTGATGGATAATTATGCCGGATGCGATTCCTCATGTAATAGCTATAACATAGGGTGACACAGAACTAGCTCCAATTCATCAATGTAATGTAGGCATGTATTCCGTAAATAGTCATACGTGCTTATGGAAAAGAACTTGCATGACATCTTTTGTCCTACCCTCCCGTGGCAGCGGGGTCCTAGTGGAAACTAAGGGATATTAAGGGCTCCTTTTAATAGAGAACCGGACCAAATCATTAACACATAGTGAATACATGAACTCCTCAAACTACGGTCATCACCGAGAAGTATCCCGGTTATTGTCACTTCGGGTTTGTCGGATCATAACACATAATAGGTGACTATAGACTTGCAAGATAGGATCAAGAACACACATATATTCATGAAAACATAATATGTTCAGATCTGAAATCATGGCACTCGGGCCCTAGTGACAAGCATTAAGCATAGCAAAGTCATAGCAACATCAATCTCAGAACATAGTGGATACTAGGGATCAAACCCTAACAGAACTAACTTGATTACATGATAAATCTCATCCAACCCATCACCGTCCAGCGAGCCTACGATGGAATTACTCACGCACGGCGGTGAGCATCAAGAGATTGGTGATGGAGGATGGTTGATGATGACGACGGCGACGAATCCCCCTCTCCGGAGCCCCGAACGGACTCCAGATCAGCCCTTCCGAGAGAGATTCGGGCTTGGCGGCGGCTCCGTGTCGTAAAACGCGATGAAACTTTCTCTCTATTTTTTTTCTCCGCGAGACGGAATATATGGAGTTGGAGTTGAGGTCGACGGAGCCTCAGGGGGCCCACGAAATAAGGGGGCGCGCCCTATAGGGGGGCGCCCCCTGTCTCGTGGACATGGTGTGGGCTCCCGGGTGTATTTCTTTCGCCCAGAAATTCTTATTAATTCCAAAAGTACCTCCGTGGATTTCCAGGACATTCCGAGAACTTTTCTTTTCTACACATAAAACAACATCATGGGAGTTCTGCTGAAAATAGTATCAGTCTGGGTTAGTTTCATTCAAATCATGCAAGTTAAAGTCCAAAACAAGGGCATAAATGTTCGAAAAAGAAGATACATTGGAGACGTATCAGTCACCCATCCTCTCACTACTCCGTCTGAACACGCTTAACTTTCGAGTTCTATTCCCCCTAGTTTCCAAGTCCGCACTTGTTGTTTTTCTGACAATACTAAGCTGTCAATCCCATTAACCCTTAGGAGTTAAACTTGAGCATTAAGCACCATTTGAGTTTGAAACTATTATTCTAAAAAATAATAATTATTTAGTAACACCAGTATTTCTTAAATCAGTAGTTTGACCACAGTTTGACCATACTTTGAGCACAATTTAACCAGATTTGACAATAGTTTGACCACAATTTGACCAAAAGTAAAAAAACTAAAAACAATTATTTATTAGCACTAATATTTCTTGAATAAGTAGTTTGACCAGATTTAACAAAAAGTAAAAAAAAACTAAAATTTAAGCATATCTTTTTTTCCTTTCAGAATTTGAGGATTCTAAAAATTTGACCTGATTTTTTTGATATATTATGCGTTTTTTCGACATCGTATGCAAAAGATATGTCCGTTTTACTTTTTCATAACACTTGTTTGCAAACATGTCCAAATTTAAGTTTTTTAATTTTCCTAACTAGTAGATGTAGTAACATAACTACATAAGTACATTCTCATGCAAAGACCTTTGGACTTCGAGAAGGACATTTGATTTCAATAGAACATCCTGAATGCGGGCCCTAGACATCGTTGACAAAAGAGTAGTTGTCTCAGTTCCAATACATATTAGGCAGCATTTACTCATTATCTTGTGATACTTTTAAGTCTTACACAGTTTAATGTGTACCTCACCTTGAATCTTTCAAATCAAAGAAGGCATCTGATCTCGGAGTAAGAAGAGTCAAGTAAGTATTTTCCTGCCATGGAGAAAAGATTAGTTCATATAATAAAATGACTTTCTCAAACCTAAACTAATAAATAAAATTTGATCAACACTGCACATGAACTTCTACAAGTTTCCATCTGTGCCGTAAGACATGCATCATAATTCTCATAATGAGGATATTGCCGGCACACTTAAGTGAACATGCATATTCAGATGCAGCTATTTTACTCACATCAAAAAAATGAACATAAGCGTATAGGAAGGCCATAGGATTGTATCTTGGCAAGCATATGGGTGAAAAAGACTCCGAAGTCCTGCGTTAAACAGACAAATCTTGTAAGATGCTTGTAGGTCAAGGTTTTTCATTTCAGATAGCATGTGATGATTACCTAAAAGATTCGGAGGACAATATGAAATTTGCAAGTAGTAATATATCATCAGGATGCAAAGTTGCCTTTTGTGCTCCCACAAGACTAATAACCTGAAAATTAACCAAGATCATATCTCTCAGAAACATGAATGCAAAAGACTAACAAAACTAAAAGATTTATGTATCCATCTCCATAGACTTGCAAAGTCGCAATCATAAGTGTAATATTTGGCAATGGCCAAAGTTCTATTTCTCATGATGGGATGGCAGACGCAATTGGTAGAAGCACATAATAACTAACATTAGCATGAGCAAGGAGCAATCCATATTGGTATTGGTACCGTTTGTCAAGCTACAGAACACACAAGTCGTTGAGTCTACTGGAGAGATCAAAAACATCTGATACCAAAGAATAGAAATGGGAATCTTTCTACAGAATTCTCAGAAATGTGGCATATCAGCTTGAATATGGTGAAAGACGTAACTGATTGACTGACGATAAAGTAAGATTTATGATACTGTTATATGAACCTTTAGAAAGGTCAAGTGGCATCTAAAATGTATTGAGGAGTAACTATAATAAGAAATGTGTTACATTTTAGCACATAAGCAGGATTCCAGCACAGTTTGATTAAAGGGTCAATGAACTAAGTAGCACAATGGAAGTTCTGACAGGAAACTGGACAAACTTGAAATTAACAAACAATGTAGCTCTCACAAAGACAAAAAGAGGACTAAAGAAAATAAATGATTTACGTTAAATGTCTCCAAACACTAGCAACCACAAGTAGCATATTTGATATGGATAAAGTTTGGTGCCTTGTGATGGGATGCCAGAAAGCCCACAATAACAAATAGTAGCACTAGAAGGAGCAATTTAAATGGTACTGGCACCCTTCGGCAAGCTACAGAGCACAAAAAAACTGTAGACTATTCGAGAAAGGCCATTAACTCTACAAAAAGATCAAAGATTCTAATACGGTAATACCAAAGAACACAAATGGCAAGCTTTCTAGAGAAGTTCTCAGAAATGTGGAATCCCACTTTGGATATGGTAAAAGACGTAACTGACTGACAGACTGACAATACAGCAAGTTTTATACCATGTTATATGAAGCTCTAGAAAGTTCAAGTGGCACCTAAAGAGTTTTCAGAAGTAACTATAATAGGAAAAATGTTACATCAGACCAAATAAGCATGAATTCAGTACAGTAAGATGAAAATGTCAAATGGGGTTAGCATGAAAATGGAAGTCATGGCAGCAAATTGGACAAACCTTGTGATCACACATCAACAGTGCAAACAGAACTCCCGAATCAGCAATGTCCTGCAAAACTGCGGTAGCAGCCTGTCTTGTTGCTTGGGCAAGGGGAAGGCATGTGTATGCATGAAGAAATGTAGCGGGATTCCTGTAGAATGGTTCAATATGATTTCAATTAAGTACTAAAGTCCAAAATGTATTAAGATGGGATCCATAGAAAGGAAAAGGAAACAAGCTAACCAGCTGAATGCACGTATAAGAGAGAGGAAAACCGCATCTGTGCCACCTAGAAGTGGTGCCATATCAAATTTGGGATTCTTCTCAAAGCACCTGTTGACCGACTTTGTCAAAATAAGCAACATCTGCAAATTTGTGTTTTCAGACAGAGAAATCAGCATAAGAATGGAAACGCAAGACTGTATAATAATTATAATAAAAATACAAGAAATTCAAAGGTGTTAAAGATGAGTGCAACAGTGGAAGCACCTGACCATACATGAGCTCTAGTTGGCCCCTCAATCCTTCAAACGTCTCTTTGGTGCAACTTATACAAACTAAATAAATCGGACCTTTGACAAGGAAAACTATCTGAAAGAACAGTGTACAATCAACTTAGAATACATAAAAGGGTTTTCCGGTGAAATGCCCATGTCAGTGGTGTCTGATTGTTCAGGCGTGTGCACTGTCCTGAAGTAACATTTAAAGAAAAGAGTAAATTTTGGATAAGGAAGGCCATCTGACCTGATGTTTCCCAGCTCTCACAAATTTGATATGATCACCACTGGATAAAGAAGGAACAACACCAAGAGGAAAATTCAGTACAGCCCACAGGAAAAGGTAAAGGACACTAATCATTGCAATCAGCAAAAGAGGATTGCATACCTGTTCTCCACAAAAGAAACAATCGCTTGCAGTGTAGCAGAAAACCCAGCTAACCTGTGCTCATCTCCATACCTAGAAGTTGAACAAGACGAAGGAAATGTGATGTTATGGTTTCACCTGAGAAAGTGCAGCAATTCCTTACAAACTCTATCATGAATTCCTCTTTCTTAAGTGATTTTACCTAGAGTATATCGGCTTGCCGGAATTGCTCAAGATGAAGAAATGCTTCTTCCTCTTCCTCCATGAAGCTGAACCATCATCCTGGAACATCATGGATGGAACACATTCAGGGTAAGACGACACAAACACCTACACCCCTCCAGCAGTAGCAGCTACTGCGGCGCATGCAAACTTCACTTGAATGCCACCCAGGACACCGAAAAAGTAGTAGGGAATGAAAATTTTGGAAATTATGTACTGCAGGTTTGGTAGTTTTTAGATCCGTACATACAACATTTATGAGTGAGCATGGATTTGTGTGATCACTGAAGCTGAAGCTACTTGATAATAATGTCAGCGCTCGGCATCCAAATTACTACTAAATGAGTAATGAATTGAGGCGAGAATAATCCATGATTAGATGGTTGAAATAGCTCAAGAGACAAGAAGACGGAGCGTGGAGCTGGGGTGACCTCGTCGGCGTGCTTCTTGCCGCGCGCCCAGTCCTCGGCGCCGGGGGGGAGGGGCGGGGTGGGGTCGGGCTCCTCCTCCTCGATGCCGCCGGAGGGGGAGGCGACGCTGCTGCCGCGCTCGCCGGCGTAGCCGCTGCTGCTGGGGCTGGGCGGGCTGGGAGATGCTGGAGTACATGTTCATTGTGAACTTTTAAGGAACCTATATCCGACCTACAGACGCGAACAACCTCAACAACATGAAGCAGCGCAAGGGAGAGACGGTGCGCCAGTAAAAACACTTCCTCAAAAAAAAATCATTGATTGCAATGATACTGAGGCCATCGCCACATTCAGGAACGGCACAACAGACCAATCTACAAGTCCAAGTAGATGCCGGCCTTGATGGACATCATCGTCAAGAACATCACAAGTGAAGATGCGTAGCCGCCAAGCAGCGGGCACCTGATGGTGATCAGAGCCTGTCCAACACAAATGACCAGCCAAGAAATTCACGGTGCGATCATAAGAAAAAGCGTCGGGACGGGGATGACGATGACAACAAGGTAAATGCCGCCTTCGCTCCTTAGGGTGGAAATGCTAGAAAGAAGAAACAGTGGAAAAGAAGAAGGTCAACGACGCTATTGGGCCTTCGGTAAGGTCATGAACAAACCTTGTGATATCCATGGTCGGAAGAATGATGGTAACCCACCCGCAAACTACACGAAGTAGAACTGTTGAGTCCATAAGAAGGCCAACACCGAGAAGCCCAACCCTCATAACGATGATGACGAGGGTGAGTTGCAACCTAGCAAAGGCAACGATGGGCAGAAGCAGTTTCCACTACAAATAAAGGATGTGAACAAGATTTATCCATGTTACACCTCGAAAAAGGATCAGAAGCGCACTCCATGAGCTATCTGTCGTGGAGCCCACTGAGCCGAAAGTGCAACCCCTGGTCTGAGATTCTGACCACCTTTGATCTACGCGACCATCTGACTAGGGTTTTCCACGGCGGAATGACCACATTCGTCATATGACAATTTCAGATTTAATCTCTAAGGGTCCATGTAGGTGGCATGACAAGGTGGTGGGAAGTTTAGTCCCACCATGCTAGTGGAAGGAGAGTTGGAGTGGTTTATAAGGGATTCTCTTCCTCATGCTATTGGAGCTTGAGAAGAGAAGAAGCCCTCGCGCACTCCTCCTCCTCCGCTCGTCGCGCCGCGGGTTGCGGGATTGAGCTGAGCCGAGCTCACTCCTATGCGCTTCTTTTTGCCGGTCAGGAACGGAGAGTCTTTGGGCTACCGACTTGGACGTGGGTTCAGCCCACGTCTTTCCACGCGCGGTTATGTGGGGCGCTGCCAACCCTAGCCGCCGCGAAATAGAACACATCTCCGCCTCCACGCCCACATCGTTCCTTTGCTGCTGCTGCCGCCGGCGACTCCATCCCGTCCACCGCGTACACGGTTGACGGGAGAGCAGGCCTCCGAAACCCCGCCTCTCCGGATCCTGTACGGAAGAGGGGCGATTAGATTTTTGGGTAGGGACTACGCGACTGCTCGCTTCTGTTCATCTACATCCGCATCACCTTCGTCATCACCATGTCGACCGACGCCGATCGTGCCACCGCTGAGAAGGCCGAGGCCGACAAGAAGGTTGCCGATGATGCCGCGGCTGCTGCCACTGTCACCGCCGCCGCGTGGCCGATTGGAGGGTATACATCGCTTATCCCTCTCGTGTTTCTTTCTGTTGTAGCAGTACTAGCGATATGCGTAGATGTTTCTACTATGTGTGTAGGACATGCTCTGTTAGATCGTAATCAATGTGTTATCAATGTTGTTCATGTCATGCTCATGATTTATTCATGGGTTAATTTAATCGAAAAACTGCCTACTTATTCATCATTGACCTCATCGTTACCATCACCGTCCTGCAGTTGCGGTTGCGGTTGCGGGTAGATCGTCCTTTGCACCAGACTGGTCGGGCTCCTCACACACTTTCTCATCCTTCATGCCGTGCTTGAACGCAGTGATGGCATCGGCATAATTACAATGGATTATCTCATTTTCTTCTTTAGGAAACAGGTTCAGAAGGAGCGAACTAACTCACCTTTTCTCTTGGATCGGATGGCATCGGCATAATTACAATGGATTATCTCATGTTTTGCTTGAAATATGGTGAAAACTTATGGCGGACGATCTCATCAACGAAGCATGTCGGATGAAATTTTGTCAGACCAACAATCGATGAACAGAGAGCTTCGAGAGTGTGCCATGCGTAAGCCAAGACGGTCGCGCGGTCATGCTCATGCAAGCTGGTCGGTTTGGATCTCAAGCATTCCGGCACAGCCATGGCTAGGGAGCCTTTTCTACTAACGGTATGGTCTTGCCAATTGG